AAAAAAAAAAAAGGGAGCAAATACACCAGTACAGAGGAAAGGGGAGGGGAGGGGAGAAAGGAACCAAGGCCTCTTTCCTCAAGAAAACTGGCCTCTTCCTTAGGGTCAATTGGGTGGTGGGGAATGTTATGAATGACAACCCTTGTATGGTAGTGATATAAACATAAGATCTGCAAGGTTGGACAGAGCAAGGGCTATCTAGTGCAGCACTGTGGCTGGTCAGATGCTTCTGAGAAACTCAAAAGTGGAGGATGCAAGTGATGGTGGGGGCGGGGGCGGGTTGGTTGTCTGTCCTCTACATTAGATGGTACTCAAACATAGACTGGCACTGTGCAGGGAGGTTCCATTTAGCCACCATGGCTATGGAGACGTCTGCCCTCTCTGAATTTGTGCAGACTTTCCCCCCACTCTCCCCACAAGCCAACAAAGGCAATCACCACTTTTTGCACTTGCAAATCCCATAAACAAATTCATATCCCTGTGAAAACTGATTTGAGTTTGGCACATAGCTAAGTGAACACCTCTCCCCTGCCCCAGGTTTCTAACACTGAGGGAGAGAGAGAGAGAGAGAGAGAAATCTCCTTTTCACTCTCAAACCCATAGTTCTACAAATCTCATGTTTTCCATTTTTCACCCACCCACTAAAGAGTCCATAAAAGACAGCAACACTTTACCCACCTACCTGGGAATGAGCCCCACTTAACAAATGGGGCAGCAACAGAACAGCAGTAGAACCAAAGGCTTTCCGGAATAGAAGTCTTCAGTCCCCAGCAAAACACAGGCAAAGAGGGGCTTCCTCTAAGCTTTTGGTTAGTGAGTTCTGTGAGCTGAGTTCCACCACAGAGAAAATATGCATTCTCCCACATTGCCACCAAATGTGTCTCAGAGTTTATTTATTTGCGGACAAATATCATGCCCTTTCTGTGCACTGCTCTGGTTTCGCCAGAAGCAGCTTAGTCATGCTGGCCACATGACCCGGAAAAACTGTCTGCGGACAAACGCCGGCTCCCTCGGCCAGTAAAGCGAGATGAGCACCGCAACCCCAGAGTTATTCGCGACTGGACTTAATTGTCAGGGGTCCTTTACCTTTACCTTTTTATCATGCCCTTTCTCTGCCGTGGAACCCAAGGCATTGTCTGTAAAGTCCCCAGGTGGTCACTCACCCAGGTACTGCCCTGATCTACAGCTGCTTAACTTCAGCAGTGAAAGAGATTGATCACCATGGATTTAGCCTGGAAACTGGTCTAAGCTATGCTGAGTGCGGAGGTGCTGGAAGGAGAAATATAACATTAAAAAAAGGCAAGGCAACTTTTTATTATCAGTATTTACTTATGTATAGGGCAGTCAAGACCCCCTTTGCTCCATGCTGGGAGTTGAGTTGGGTGTGGGTGTCCCTCTGTCCAGCCCTGTTGGCCTCTGTCAGTCATCACCTCCACTAGTATGGAGTCCCTCCTTCCACTTGCCCAATAGGCAGGGAGAATGACTGCCAGGAGAATCCCTACCACCTGCTAGCAGAAAACCCTGAAATGTAGCTTTCTGGGGAGCAGAACTGAGCTGGCCAGAGATCCGAGCAATCACTGCTTTGCTCTCATGATGACACTGGTTCTGATTCAGGCCCAGACACCCCATGAGCTGCAGGCTGGTGCAGTATTCTGCCTCCCCCCTCCCCATGTGTGGCACTGCCATTCTGTAATGCCCCGGGTGGGCTGGGTGAGGGGAGCTGGGATTACTCCCATACTAAGAGGTTTTGGTTCTGCCTCCCCAAGAGTCTTGAAGTGGGCTACAAAATTTAAAATAATAAAATCTCAATGCAATAAAATAAACGCAGCTGAAAGATAGGGATTAAATAAATCAGATACTGGAACTATGCACCAGCTGAGTACATAAATAAGTTTTAAGGAAGGCTGTTTCCTTTGTAGTTTATAGCTAGCTGGGCATCGATGCCAGCCAGAAAATACAAACTGGAATCAAGAACTAGGGCTTCCCTTTCTTAAACCTTTCCAGATTCTTCCTTTTAAACAACTTTTTACACAGTTATAGAAACCACTTTTGCCTGCTGGGTGCTCCAAGTTACAGAACACATGATGGGCACAGGACTGCACTGGGTCCAAATATCCCAGAGGACCGAAGAGACACAGAAGTTGGTGAAAGTGGCATTTTTTTTCATTGGAACAGTACCTGACATTTGTCAAAGAGCAAGCAAGCCTTTAAATGATGCACAACTCGTAACGGAGACTCATTCTCCACTATGCACTGTCTGTTGGATCCATTGTGAAGTTACTCATAAGCAAGCCGAGATGCCTGCATTGCAGGGGGTTGGACTAGATGACCCTTGGGTCCCTTCCAGCTCTACAATTCTATACCCCACTGAATTTACTGTAGTAGCCTTAGGGAGTTTCCCTCTACTTGCACATAGCTTTGCTTTAGCACTCTGCATAGAAACAGAGACACCCTTACAAGAGACCACTGGTGGCAGAGCTGACTTCTGATGTAGCGAGTAAAATGTTGGAATACTTGGGAGAAGCCGCATTTGGGGTATTATGTGGAGTGTGTGAAACGTCCTGTTCCCTTGCAGCAGGAGAATTGCAGCAAAAAACCAAAAGCAATGGAGACAAGAGAGCTCTCCTTTTGAGGCTAGTTAATTGACTATTGTGGGACGCGGGTGGCGCTGTGGGTAAAAGCCTCAGCGCCTAGGGCTTGCCGATCGAAAGGTCAGCGGTTCGAATCCCCGCGGCGGGGTGCGCTCCCGTTGCTCGGTCCCAGCGCCTGCCAACCTAGCAATTCGAAAGCACCCCCAGGTGCAAGTAGATAAATAGGGACCGCTTACTGGCGGGAAGGTAAACGGCGTTTCCGTGTGCTGCGCTGGCTCGCCAGAGTAGCTTTGTCACGCTGGCCACGTGACCCGGAAGTGTCTCCGGACAGCGCTGGCCCCTGGCCTCTTAAGTGAGATGGGCGCACAACCCCAGAGTCTGGCAAGACTGGCCTGTACGGGCAGGGGTACCTTTACCTTTTTAATTGACTATTAAGAGATGCGGGTGGTGCTGTGGTCTAAATTACAGAGCCTAGGGCTTGCTAATCAGAAGGTTGCCGGTTCGAATCCCCGAGACAAGGTGAGCTCCCATTGCTCGGTCCCAGCTCCTGCCAACCTACCAGTTTGAAAGCACGAAGTGCAAGTAGATAAATAGGTACCGCTCCGGCGGGAAGGTAAATGGCGTTTCCGTGTGCTGCTCTGGTTTGCCAGAAGCGGCTTATTCATACTGGCTACATGACCTGGAAGCTGTACGCCGGCCCCCTCGGCCAATAAATCGAGATGAGCGCCGCAACCCCAGAGTCGTCCGCGACTGGACCTAATGGTCAGGGGTCCCTTTACCTTTAATTGACTATTAGCAGTGCTACAGCTAGTTGTTTCTGTGCCTGGGAAAGGACGGCTACACCAGTTGCTAGAGAACTTGTGTGCCTCCAGATGTTATTGGACAACTCCTGACCATTGACCACAAGTTGCCTGGGGCTTATGAGAGTGTGAAACAATACCCTAGGACCACGGGCTCCCTAACACCCTCCCAGAACTGACACCATGGAAAGGACATATACGGGTGCTTTAAACCAAAGTTCTCAACTAAACACAGGAAGCTGCCTTTAACTGATAAGTTGATTCGTCTGGCTTGTTACTGGTCTACCTTGGCTGACAACTCTCCGGAGCTTCAGGTGGGAACATTTCCCCCAGCCCTACCTAGAGCCGCCACGAATTGAACCCGAGACCTTTCGCATGCAAAACATACGCTCTGCTACCGCGTTGTAGCCCTTCCTTATATAGGGATCTCAGATTAACTGCCCTTACTCAAAAGCTACTGTGCAGAACACCTGCTGTCTGCTGCTATCCAATGGCTCATGGGTCTGTCTTTCTCCTTCCCCGTGCGCAGTATTCAGAGGCTCTAGGTGCAGGGGCAATGAGAACCTGCAATTGTGCCATTCTGCTTGGCTAGTTGCTTTCACTAAGTTGACATCTAGTTTGAATCTGCCTTTTGCAATTTTCTTTTCTTTTTTTTTAATCAGCACCTCAAATGCTGAAAAATCTCATATCATGCTTTTGTTGGAGGGATGGTCCGAAAATGTATCTATGTTGCGTAGAAATTAGTTTCAGACTAGGACCCGAGTTCAAATTTCCACTAAATCTTTCGGCTCGCTTGAGCTAGTAAACTCTTTCTCGACCACAGGTTAGCCCCCTGGGGCTGCCTTCATGGGCGGGCTTCCCAGACTAGATACTAGTTCTGGAAACGGGGATACTGTACTAAAGGAATTCCCTAGTTTGCAGGATGCATTTTCTACTGCGCATAAACCCGCTTGTAGCCCCTCCAAGAATCCATCTTAATTGCTGCACGTGCAAAGCAATCCTACACCCATCCACTTACCTGGGAGTAAGCCCCACTCAATTCAATGGGCCTTACTTCCGAGTAGATACGTCTAGGATTGCGCAGCATGGGAGGAAAGATTCCAAAGACCTCTTCTTGGCTAACGCATAAAAACGGAAGGCTAACATGCCATTAAATAAATACGTAAAAATAAACCAAGCTGTACCGAAAAGAAAAGCGGCGCGTGTGTTTTAGGAGTTTATTTGAAGAAGCTTTGCTGCCATTCTCCTTTTGAACCATCAAGGCGGCAGCTCTATCAGTGCTTGGCAATCTTGCGCTTCTGCTTGCGCGCCCGGCGCACAAACACCTTGCCGTGAAGCAAAGGGCTTTGCGCCTTTGGCGGGCGCACCTCGCCCGCGCGTCTCTATTGCGGGGGAGCTGCTGCTGCTGAGGAGGCGACAGGGGCATCCCCCCCCCAGTTCTTTGTTGGGCCGCCAGCTGTGCAAGGGGCTCGCGTGGCTCAGCCCGGAGGCGCCTCTCTGATTGGCCTCTTGCGGGCGGTAACGAGACAGGCACGCTCCGAGCCGGCCTGATAAGATAAAGCGTGCCAAGCTGGACGCGCTTTGGCGAGGTGGCGGGGGTGAACCGGACGGGGGGGCGGGGAGGAGAGGACGGGACGGGACAGAGAAAGCACCACACGCTGCCCAGATCAGGAAACCCTGCATTGTCTCTGCGCCCTATATATAGGGGCCCCGAGGCAGTCGTGTGCCCGACCTGCAGCCTCCACTCTCCTGCCGTCGGTGAAGGCGCTCTCCTCGCCTCGCGCTCCAAGGTGGGCTGCTCCCAAAGAGAGATCGTCGCCTCTGGCTCAGGTAAGAAGATTCCCCTTGTGGATTCTGCGGAGCTGAATGCCTCTCATCGGAGAGGCGCCGGGAGCCGTCGATGATCTGGGCAGAGAGATCAAGGCGCTTTGCATACGCCCAGAAGCTTCAGTTCCTCGTGCAGTCCTATTCTTCTTAAGAGCTGCAAACTGGTTCGGGGGCTTAAAGACCAGCTTATTTCTCCCAAGGGGGTGCAAAAAAGAAGAAGAAGTTGGTACTTGCCCATCGATTAATTATTTCAGTGCCTTGCGTGAGGGCACATGTAAGTTCTTCTCCCACAAAGCATCGAAGCTGCAGCACCCAAGGGTACCTTCCCTTTAGATTCCCGGGATCCCTGCTTGCAGCGCACCCACCTTCTCAACCCATTTCCCCTGGAAAGGCTCGCCCCGTGGATGTGCCACGGCGCGCCCACAACCCTGCGCCATCTCTCTGGGTGCCTCCTTGCCACTAACGTGGCCCCCTCGCCCGCCTCTCTCCGCTTGCTTTGCAGGATGTCTCCCAAGACGGCCTCTTCTTCGCCAGCCTCGACCACCAGCGAGGGGGAGCCGCCCTCGTCAGGCATCTCCGACGACGACGCCTCCTTCGCCTCGTCTTCCCCTTCGCTGGGCGCCGGCGGCAGCCTGCCTTCGTCTCCCAGCCCCTGCCTGCTCCTGGTCGAGGTGGGCGCGCGGGCTGCGCGCGGCGCCCCGACGAAAGGGCGTCGGGGCCGAGGGCCCGGCAAGGGCGAGGGGCTGGGCCCCAGCAAGGCCAAGAGGAGCCGGCGCATGAAGGCCAACGACCGGGAGCGCAACCGGATGCACAACCTGAACTCGGCGCTGGACGCGCTGCGAGGCGTCCTGCCCACCTTCCCCGACGACGCCAAGCTGACCAAGATCGAGACGCTGCGCTTCGCGCACAACTACATCTGGGCGCTCACCGAGACCCTCCGCCTGGCCGACCAGAATTTGGCCGGCGCCGGGCCGGGCCCCGAGGTGGGCGCAGCTTTCCAGCAGCTGGGCGCCGGCTGCGACAGCCTGGCTGCCTGGCCCGCTTGCTGCCAGTGGGACGCCGCCTCGCTGGACTCGCCCGGCTCGCAAGAGGGCAGCCTCAGTCCCACGGACTCCTTCCAGGCGCCCCCCGGCGGGGGCCCTCTCCGACTCAGGCGCCCCCCGGAGCGCGCGGTCTTCCCGGACTTCGTCTGAGCTGCCTAGTCTTGCCCGAGATCCCCTCCTCGACGGACTTCGTGCGCGCATGTACTAGGGGCAGCTCGGCCGCTTGGCTCTCCCCTCCACTAGATTCGCCTCAGCCTTTACCTTAAGAGGGAGAGCTCCCTCCACTTGGTCTGTGCAATTTTCCTGACAACGCACCCCCCCCCATTTATTTTTTTGGGGAGAAGCCAAAACAGGGCTGGGAAGAAAATAAGACATAGCCCTCAGAGCCAGGGATCGGGAACCTGGAGCCTCCGAGATGTGGTTGAACTACAACTCCCATCATCCCTGAGCATTGGCTCCGCTGGGTGAATATGATGGAAGCTGAAATGCGACCGCGTCCGGAGGCACCAGGAGGACTCCTGTCTCTGCGCCAGAGACTTTCCAGATGGGGTGGTTTTCTCATCCGGAGACTGTGCAGCGGTCATATGCAGTGGCCTTGCTCCAGTTAGCATAAAACGTTAAGGGAGAAATTGCGTTTTCTCTAGGGCTCAAATGACAGCACTGAATTGGGGTGGGGGGAATGCCCCCCCCCAGCCTCCATAAGCATAAAATTTGGGTGTAACTCAAAGTCACCCTTTGGAGAGTTGCTCATGACATCACTAGGCAGCTAATTCCGCTGCCTCATCCTCTTTGGTACTTAAAGATTTTATTCATACTGTACTTAAATAATAATAATAATCATCATAATCTGTAATGGGTTAACTGCACCCTATTGTAACAACGCAGCAAGGTGCGCTTACTTAGTGTGGAATTCCAGCAGGATACTCAGCCCCTTTCCCCGTGCAGCAATGTCTTACCATTTCATGCCAACTTTTGCATCTCTTCCAATCTCTCTCCCCCCCCCCATTTAGTTCTGGGTCCTAAAAGGAGAACACCTACTGATTCCCACCTTTTATGTTTGTTCTGGTGGGATAATTGCACTGTACTGGAGGTAGTGTGGACAGCAGTCTAAATCAAAACACAGGGCCATAAGCATAAGCACAACTGTTCTCCCACTGAAACCAGTAGGACATAAGGTGCTTCACTAGGCTGCATTCCCCACTGCCCCAAGCCCCAAATATCTCCATACTGAATGCAGTTGCTTAGAAACTGCTGCTTTCAGGGGGACCTTGCTTGGACATAGGAGCTCAGCCTTTTGCTTTTGGGAGGATGAATCTGGAATATTATCCAGCACAACTCCAGAGTGATTGAAAATCTCTGTGAGCATGTCTTGAAGAGAGGGTGAACCTGCTCTTTTAAACCACCCTCAAATCACTCACGGGGAAAATACATATTCAAGAGCACTTAATATATAGATTAGTTGCCCTTCGCTTTGAACCACCCTGTGGTTGAGTGGTTGTAGCTGTAATCCTATGTCTTATTCCCTGGGAGGAACACAATGGGACTTACTTCTGGGTCAACATGTATAGAATCAGCCTTGAGAGTGGGACGGATGGGCTTTCCTTACCCAGTTTTCAACACGCGCTAAGGGTGGCATAATTTATGACAGAGCGTATGCTCTAAGAAAACGAGAAACAGTGGTGAGCATAAAACCTAAAGTGGTAGTTGCTCTGGGTGAATCAAGCAGCATGCAAAGGTGTGAACTTGTGTGTGTGTGTGTGTGTGTGTGTGTGAATGCAACTTGGACAGGCAGGTAAAATGCGTGTGGGGTTTGGAGGGGGGAGGTCAACATAAGCTTAAAGGGGATGTCACTCAGTGACAAATGGTCCAATTGGCATTTCCACTGCAAGCCCTGGGTGAGATGGCCGGCTCTACCATTAGACAGAATGTGGCAGCTGGCCAGGGCTGTGGGGGGACAGTGGCAGCAGGTCCCTTTTGAGATTCCCATGCTGTTCCCCTCTATTGGAGGACAGAGCTTTGCACATCACCCAAGCAGCTCTGTACACTCCCCCAAGCTAGCCCACAGCAGCCCTTTGTTGCGGCACTGTCCTGCCATGAGTGTTGAAGTAAGATTCAGCAGTCAGTCTGACTGGCATCTGCCCATGGAATCTTATCCTTTGCCTCAGGCAGCAAAGCCAGCAGCAGACGGACCAGTGGCTCACCTCAGCATACAGCAGCAGCTTCCCATGCCCATACACTCCTCTAAGAAAGAGAAACAGCAAACTTATTTGCAATTAAAATTGAATTGAAAGCAGAGGGATTCACTGTGTCAGTCCCTCTGAAGCGAGGAATTTCTCTACATGGGGAAGTGTGCATGTGTGTGAGGGGGGCACAGAGAGAGAGAGCGTGAACATGTATGTGCTAAGTACACATGCATTTAATAAAAAGTCTCTGCCTTTTGGTACATTTCAGACTAAGACTGAAATCCTATACCCACTTACCTGGGAGAAAGCAGCATGGAATCCAGTGGGATTTCCTTCTGAGTAGACATTTACGGACTAGCACTGCAAGCTCCTATTTCCCTGTAAAATGGTACCACGCCCGTAAGAAGCATTGATCCCTTCTTTTTGTACTGAAGATAATAATTTATAATAATTTCTCACTGTTTTGTATTTATTGATTCTATTTCAGAACAAATATATGAATATATGAATATATTATATATACAGTATATATGTTTGGTACCGAAGATTATATTATATACATGTTGCAGAGTTACAATGGGGAGAATTAAAATGACTTTGCTGGTGGTGGGAATTAAATTTTTTTTGGGGAAAAAAATATGGAAGTGGTCTCCTTTCAAACTTGATGAACACAGAGAACTTTCCAAATGCACATGCAAATGATAAGGATCCACCAATCGTCCTCAGGGCACCTTCCCAACAGGAGCAATCACAGTTTAAAAGGTAAAGGTAAACTTACCCCTGCCCGTACGGGCCAGTCTTGCCAGACTCTAGGGTTGTGCGCCCATCTCACTCAAGAGGCCGGGGGCCAGCGCTGTCCGAGGCCGGGGGCCAGCGCTGTCCGCAGACACTTCCGGGTCACGTGGCCAGCATGACATCGCTGCTCTGGTGAGCCAGAGCCGCACACGGAACGCCATTTACCTTCCCGCTGGTAAGCGGTCCCTATTTATCTACTTGCACCTGGGGGTGCTTTCGAACTGCTAGGTTGGCAGGCGCTGGGACCGAACAACGGGAGCGCACCCCGCCGCGGGGATTCGAACCTTTCGATCGCTTTTACCCACAGCACCACCCGCGTCCCAGTTTAGCACTTAATCACAGTTTAGCACTTACTAAATGGAAGATACAACATCCACAGTAGGTCTGTTCTGCACCTGATGTCAAATGTAATTTTTTAAAGGAGAGCGTAGCTACTGATGATGTGGCCAAAGGATAAACTATAAAGTTATTGCTGCACAGATCCATAAACACAACATGACAAATACGTGTGTATCAATATTTTTGTCATATCAGAACAATCTTGTTTGTTTTAGCACCCGTTTTCCCCATTTCCATTTTTTTAAACCAGCTATGAAAACTTGAAATTTTGTACCTTTTGTATGTAGAGGCACTCTCATAATCTGAGGCTCTAAGATGTTGCTTACTTTGCTTGTGTGCAAAACTGGCACTGAGTGGCTCAGTTGGTTAGAGCGTGGTGCTGATAATGCCAAGGTCACAGGTTCGATTCCTGTGTGGGTCGGCTGCATATTCCTGCATTACAGGGGGTTGGACTAGATGATCCTCAGGGTCCCTTCCACCTCTACAATTATATAGAATCAGAAGAATCGCTATTTGCATCAGCCACTAGCCATAGCAATAAAATAATAAAATAAAATGAACTGAAGATAGATGTAAAAACTATACAAAATACATTCCAGAGGTTTACATCAATAATCAAATAATAGATCTTATTTTAATTGCCCCTGCTAATTTTTTTTGCAGTTTTTGCTGTCACCTGATTATCTTGATCTGCTAGAAGAAAGGACACAGTAGCAATGGTTGAGCGACCCAGCATGGACAGTAGTAGAGGGGTAATAACCTCACTCCTCAAATCTTTATAAAGAGTGCAAGCCAGAAGCATATGAGCCACTGATTCAATAGAGTGGTACCTTGGGTTAAGAACTTAATTCATTCCAGAGGTCCGTTCTTAACCTGAAACTGTTCTTAACCTGAGACACCACTTTAGCTATTGGGGCCTCCCGCTGCCGCCATGTCGCCACCATGCAATTTCTGTTCTCATCCTGAAGCAAAGTTCTTAACCCAAGGTACTATTTCTGGGTTAGTGGAGTCTGTAACCTGAAGTGTCTGTAACCCGAGGTACCACTGTACTGCCATCTCCACATGGACACAACAATTTTTCCAGTGTAATTTTTTAAAATCAACCCTCAAGTACAGCTGAAGGCAGCATTTTAAATCTTGCTTAAGTGAAAGCGCGTCTGTATTTTGGAATTGTTAAATTTTGCAAATAGGGTGCCAATGTGTCAATATGACTAGGTGTAAAATAATCATACCATGGACAAAATCTCCTTATCTTGGCCATATTATTCTGTCGCTCAATATCATATAGGCGCTGTCTAATTAAATTGTTTGCTTTACTGAAGCCTGGTGTTAATAACTATTGTGGTGGTAAACCAGAAAAGTAAAGCTGTTTTTGGTTGACAATTTTAGTCCACGCGCTCTCATGAAAATCTTGCAATACTAAGGGCAGTAGACCGGTGGGGTTTTAATTTAGCCAAAGCCAATAATTAAATGTCCTACACCAAGTCTGTAATTCAACAGAGGGGAGATTAGCCTCCAAGCACAATGAAGCATTTGGAACACAGGATGAAACAGGAAAAAAATTGCCTTAGGAACTTAGATTGAACAGTTTCTGTAGATCCAAGGTGAGTGTTTGTCCAAATCTGAGCCCAGTATAATAACTGTGCTGGGGGTTTAGCTTTAAGCACTTCAAGTGCTGGTGCTATGTGATTGGCACCTTTTGGATGGAAAAAGCATGTCAGAATTTTGGCGCTTTGAGACGCTTCTTCCTTTGCATATTTCTGATGTGCTCCCCATGAACCTATTGACTGAAAAATAAGGCTGAGGTGTTTAAAGACTTTAACTTGTTCGATCAACTGATTTTCCATATGCAATCTATGGGCCCTATAGTTTCTTGAAAACAAAATGATTTTAGTTTTCTTGTCATTCACAGCCAGCTGTCCTCTTTGGCAGTATCCTGAGAATGCCCTCATAAATCTTTTTAGGCCCATTTTTGTCTGAGATAGAAGTACCGCATCATCTGTGTATAGTAATATAGAGATGACTTTTGTGGCCAATTTAGGGGCATGATACTCTGGGGATGTTAAAAAACAGTATCCTTTATATATAAATTAAATAGAGTGGGAGCTAGGATACAACCTTGTTTAACTCCCTTTGTGGCTGGTATGGATCCTGTGAGCTGCCCATTTGTAGAGCAACACACTTTCAGCACAGTGTTTTTATATAAACATTTACTACAGTTATATATATATGAGTCTAATTCCTTGTCCCTCTCATCCAGAGATGGGTGAGTTGCTGGCAGATTCAGAAGTCTACAGGACTGGAAACGATTCACTTCTGTCCTCTGTGCCCAGTGACTTCCAGCCCACTGAATTCTAGCTTCCATCACATCAATGGCCATTTGACCATAGCTTTCAATGTAATTTGAAGAACACCCAGTGAAACCTACAGCCCTGCAAGATTGGGTGGCCTTTTAGGAGAGCTACCCAGTGGCTGCAGTTCTGGCAATATATCTGCACATTCCTCTCTTCCTCCAAGAAACACAGTCACCCATTTGTTGGTGCTCCTCAGCGCACAAGCAAACAGCCTCCTGGCTCTACAAAAGCTTCCCAGTTTATTTCAAAAGTGATATATGGCCCCAATCAAAACCCGGATGAAGGTTAACTAGCAAACACACAGATGAAGGAAGGTGTTGTTTCATTCCTGGGGGTTTGACTGAGTAGCCTGAGATTAATGCGTAATTGGTGGTGTTTTTGCAGAGCTCGGAGGAAGAGCAACGCTTGCACCTGGAGCTGCAGGTGGAGCTGGTTATAGGCAGCAAAGGAGGCCCAGCCACTGACGTTTCACAAAAGCCTCTCCAGTGCACCAAAGCTCTCCCAGTGTGGGGGGCATGGCCGATATTTCAAGTGGATAATAGTTGTTATATAAGGTTGCCTCTTGGTGTTTCCCATGGGACCCCAGGAGGCTGGCAAGAAGTGTGCTGCAGACAGTGAGCGCTGGAACTCTGAGGTGACCTGCTTCTATTCTGTCTCCGCCGTTGGACACAGTATGCCTTTGGCTGCCAGTTTCTGGGAATCAGAAGTGGGGAGGCTGCTGTTGTGCTCCCATAGGCATCTGGTTGTCCACTGTGAGAACTGGGTGTTTGACTAGATAGGCCATTGGCCTGACCCATCAAGGCTTTTCTTATGTTCTTATGCTGGCGGAAGACAACTAGAGACTGGGGCACTGCATGGTACATGCTGGTATCTGAAAGTCCTGGGTATTTTTTTAAAAAAAACCAAGCCAGAGAAATTTCCCTTTTCAACTACAGTCGTATCTTGGTTCTCCAACGCCTTGTGTTTTGGCTCCCGAACGCCACAAACCCAGAAGTGAATATTCCAGTTTGTGAACGATTTTTGGAAGCCAAACGTCCGACGTGGCTTCCACGGCTTCCGATTGAGTGCAGGAAGCTCCTGCAGCGAATCAGAAGCCATGCCTTGGTTTTCGGAAGTTGAACAGACTTCTGGAACAGATTCCATTCGAGAACCAAGGTACGACTGTATGGGCAATTGAAGACAAGAATTATATTTTAAAAGTTGGGGTGTGGGGATAGATTCTCAAATCAAAATTTCCACGCTCAAATGTAATAGTAATAACAGTCCATAGACTTCTAATTTGATGCCTCCTGCAGCATCTCCAGTCATGGATGCTGTTGCAGTTAAGATTTTAACAAACCAAACCAAAACAAAACCCAAGCATGAAAGTGCTAAAATTGGCAAGATGATTCTAAATGTTATTGCCTTAAAAAATCATCAAAATGGGGAGAGTGATCACGTGATCAAAATGCTGCTTCCCACAGGCATCTGGTTGGCCGCTGTGTGAATGGGATGTTGGACTCAATGAGCCATTGGCCTGATCCAATGGGACTCTTCTTACAGTTTGCCGAATTGGTGGGAGATTTCATTCCAATTTTCTAGAGATAAACAGCTTGGTGGGTGTTGCTTCTTAAGTACAAGTTGGATCAACGTCTAAGCTTCAGGGGAAGAGTGGGGTGTGGAAACAACCAAACATTATGTGCCATTGTGCATAGAATGGAGTGGGCAATTGTGGCCCTTAAAGCCATTCTATCTGGCCCTCAGAACTCTCCCAAGGGCTACACTCCTTCCTTAGCCATACCTCCTCTTGTCAGGCCACACCAATCACCAGATATGCTCGTACCCACCTTGAATTTTTCTGTCTGTCTGGACTGTGTCTGTGAACTCTGATCATGCCTCTTGCTTCCCTGGATGGAGGTAGAGAACAGTGCATGAGTTTTCATGGAAACTAGCCTACTGTACCAAATTAACATTGACATTTGTTGCTCTGCCTCCTTTTGCCTCTGATCTTGCCTTGAATGGCCTGGCCCATTTCACCACCTAAGGTGGAACGGGAAGGTGCAGCCCCCTCCCTCTGCTGCCACCCTTCCACCGTTGTCTGTCTCAGGAGACAATGGAGCGTCTTCAGGGGTGAAGTCAAACTGTTAGAAGTTGCAGCGCCTGCTGTGGCTGTAGAGTCCAATAGGGGAGAGGCATGCTTTGTTGTAGTCGGGGCGGGTGAAGGCTTATGGTTGTGCTGCTGCAGATTACACCATGTTTCTTCTGTCTGCGCTCCTCCCAGTGGTCATTCCTCCTCTGGTCACTGCTGTGGATACACAACCTGTCTGTCTGTCTCCAGGCACTGTGGTGGTCTGCAAGGGATTCCCACACATTGGGGTTGATGTTGCCAGCCTTCATGTCATGTTTACAGACATCTTCGTAATGCGGAGTTGGTCTGCCATGGGGCTGGTGGCTGAAGCCCTATAGAGCACACTTCTTCACCAAAGCTTTGCTTATTGGGGTCGTGCAGCTGAGGCTTCTGGGTTCTGCTGAGATCTTGCAAGAGGTCCACAAAATCTCACCAGAACCTGGAACATGCATTCCCTACCCTTCTTGCTTCCCCGGCACTTGCTTCTTCCACCACGGAAGAAGTGAGAAGTGGCAGTGGTGATGAGATGTTGTGTGAAGCCACCTCTGCCCCTTCTCCTCTGGCAGCAGGGACCCACCGGATTCTGCCACCCAAGGCAGCTGCCTCAATCTGCCTCATGGGCAGGCTGGCCCTGAATCCTAGTATGTGACCCTCTGATGGATGTCTAGCATGGAATGCAGCTCTCACACTGAAAAAGATTCCCCATCCCTGCTACAGATTATGACATCAGGGAGAGCCATTCTTAGTTGTCTGGAGAGACTGACAATATGGGGAAGCCGGCCTAAGAATTAGGTAGCTTATTGAAGGCCAGACTTGCATTTCAATACACCATTTCACATCACAATCTGGTGTTGTGTTGTCGAGCATTGAGTGGTTTGTGTATAGAAAGTTGGTCTCTCTAAAATATAATTTGGGTAGCATACAGTTTGCTTTCACTCAAAGTACAGGATAATTTTGCAA